CTTCCTTCTTCCTCTTCTTTCCTTTCCCCTTAATTCGATGAAATATTTAATACTTTTCGCATACTTTTAGATATATATATATCTTGGGATAACAAAGGGAAACGAAATTAATCGCGTTAAATCGACGAATAACGGAGACGATATTTTCCATCCGGCGATCCCTTTGTCGTTGAACTTAATAACAGAATCCAGGGAATTTGATGGAATTGCAAGGAACGCTCGGCTGGCAAACAACGGCATAAACTAACATAGACGATCCTCGGAACGATCGATGCGTTAGCAAAGGGTGCGGTTCAAACGCGCAAACATGTTCGAGTATGATTATTCTTAAAAAGAAAAGAAAAGAAAAGAAAGAAAATCCTCGTTTCGTAAATTCTTTTGTAACAATGAAATAAATCGTCCCTCTAATTTGTTTTCTCTCCAACTCGAATTTATGAGTTGGGGAAAAAAGAGTGTTCTATTAGAGTTTGAGAAAGAAAGCAAAGAAAATTGGAAATCAAAGGAAATTGGTGGTCGACGGGGCAAAAGACGTTGGTCATGAGTCGAGTTATCGGTCGATCTCCGATACACATCCATACATCAACTGCTCGACCAATTCAAACGTGATTGATCGATCGACAGAAACAGTTTCGTGCCAGCCCTCGAATCGACCCAATCACAAAACAAAAAACAAATCGAAAAACAAAATTTTCTTTCTTTATATTAGAGATATTATTGCGAAAAGAGATCGCCTCGAAATTAGAAAAATGCTGCTCGATGTGAAACAAATGAGTTGAATAATCGTACTCGCCCGAATAAGAGGATTCGTATTGCGTTGCGACACGATCTTGTTGTGGTCCAACAAAAAAGAAGAAGAAGAAGAAGAAGAAGAAAGAGAATCTAAGGGACGTCGTGAAGCACACGATTTGGAAGATGTTTGAACAGGAGAAAAAAATGTTCTTCGGGGGGCGATCAACGAAAATGTACTTTCGATAATGTGGCCGCATCCTGCAAATGTATGCGACGAGTTGGGAAACTTTCATCCGCTGGTACACTTGTCGGGAGGAAGTTACGACCGCCGGTTTGAAGAGATTCCAAATTTTCCCTCCGTTCTCGCCACTTGCGAGTAACGAACAAATTTTCATAACTTCGCCGTTTATAAACTGCGAAGCGACCAAAGTAAATCAGTCAAATTTTCCTCCCAGGATTCGAAAAATTACCTAACACGATTTTAACGAACGCACTTTTGCTCGCCACTTTTTCTTTTCTTACTTACTGAACGAGAAACGTGCTTCCGTTCAACTCTTAATATTTGTTATTTAAATACAATGTATATGTATGTATATAGTTTTAGTCAGACAAATAAGATTAGATCATGATGATACACAATTTTTAACGAAGACACTTTTGTTCGTCTTTCCTTATTTTGAATAAAAAATATGCTTCCACTTTTAATATTTGTTATTTAAATATAGTGTATATAGTTTCAGTCAGACAAATAAGATTAGATCATGATGATACGCGAAACACAATTTTTAACGAAGACACTTTTGTTCGTCTTTTCTTATTTTAAATATGCTTTTTAATATTTGTTATTTAAATATATTGTATACGTATATAGTTTTAGTCGGACAAATAAGATTAGATGATGATACACGAAACACAATTTTTAACGAAGACACTTTTGTTCGTCTTTCCTTATTTTAAATTAAAAATATGCTTTTTTATATAAATATGCACTTTTAATATTTGTTATTTAAATATAGTGTATATAGTTTCAATCAGACTTTTGTTCTTTCCTTGTTTTTCTTTTCTTATTTTAAATAAAAAATATGCTTCCACTCTTAATATTTAAATATATTTAAATATAATGTATATAGTGTTATTTAATTATAATACTTATATACGTATATAGTTTTAGCCAGAAATAAATAAGATTAAATAGGTCATGATGATACGCGAAACAAAATTTTTAACGAAGACACTTTTGTTCATCTTTCTTTATTTTAAATAAAAATTCCATTCTTAATATTATTTAAATATAATGTATATAGTTTTAATCAAATAAGATTAGGCAGGTCACGATGAGACAGAAACGGAATAGAGCAGGCATGACTCAGGATAATAGGTCGATCGAAGAGATAAGTAATATACGTCGATCATATGCAAATAGAATAGACCTGTTGTACTATCGTACAAATAGAATAGGTCAATCGTGACTTGACAGGAAAAATAAATTTGTTATAATCAAATAAGAATAGGCTATAATCAAACAGGATCAGTTTCCAAACCAGAATATACCCAAATCGATATCGATCATATACATATATATATTTACATAAACTATTTTCACTCTTTTTATAAATATTCCCTCTACGAAGTTCATCAACGTCGCAAATCGTATCGAATTATCCCCCTCCCCTCCCCAATCTATATTTCGTTTACCTTTCGAACTCTCGTCCCATCGAATCGTTCGTTCTCATCGAACGAAAACTGAACGTTTGTCTCACGTCGTGTAACGATCGTCGAATCGATTGAATTTGGAGATCGAAAAAAAAAAAAAAAAAAAAAAGAAAGGAAGAAAAAATAGAATCGAAAAGAATGGTAAAATTCGGGTCAGCCGATTGGTTCACGCCAATTTTAGAAGAAGATATTAATTCGCAGGAAGGGAGCGGGATAAGAAGGCAAGAAGGGAGGAGGAAAGAGGACGTAAGACGTTTTTGGAAAATGGAGAAGGCGGAACGGCTCTCTCGATAAACCGCGTCCTACCCAAATTTCCGAATCTTAATTGTGAGGAAATGGTGTGTAACGACGTGAAATATTACCCAGAAAAAGATGCTGACTCTTATTACGCTCGGCCGAGGAGCGAATCGTTTAATCCGGTGACTTCTCTCTCTCTCTCTCTCTCTCTCTCTCTCTCTCTCTCTCTCTCTCTCTTTTTCTTTCTCTTTCTCTTTCTCTTTCTCCTCGTATCCCCACACCTGTCGGAAAACGCTGACCTGTCATTTCCATTGCCAATCTGTTACGCGCGGTATTCAAAGGGAGAGGAGCAGCTGAGAGGGTTAAGAAAAAGGAGTATCTACTCCTCGCGATCTCCTTTTTCATCTCCATTTGCGTTCTCCTCCCTGAAAATAAACCCACGCCTCGTTTTTTTTTCTCTCTTTTTTTTCCTCTTTTTTCACTTCCTTCCTCTCCTTCACTTGATTTATCGATGTCGGTCTTGCGCGAGATCATAAATTGTACAATAGGGGCGAGATATGAATTTATAAATTTGCGACAGAGATGATACTCTATATACGCAAAGATAGAACGATAGAGGGACGAGAAGCAATCTGTTTTCTCTTTTTATTATCCCTTTCTTTCTTTCTTCCTTTCTTTCTTCCTTTTTTGTATATTATATACTTTAAAATAAATCGAATTTAATAATTCCAAACAATAATTACAATATTATGAAAGAATGGGAGGGGCGGCAGCATTGTTTCTGCCCAGATCCGTGAGATAATATTTCAAATTATCTCGCGTAATTATTTCAAATAATTATGAAACACGTAACAATAACACATCACTGGGAATAATAATAATAATAAACGAGCGATATCGATTGTTAAAAATAAATTATAAAAAAGATAGGTAAAATGAAAAATATTATTATTAACGATGTCTCGCACAAATCCACTTCCGTGTTTTTTGTCAAAGCTGTTTAAAACTCCCTTCTCCTCCTCCCCCCCCTTATAACAATAATGAAATTGGAAGATAAAATTCGAAAGACCTTTCGATGACCTTTGACATACTAAAGGTATTTTAGCATTTCGTGTATAATTAAAAATTGCGAGATCACTCGAGGCGACTAATTTAATGCTTCCTTAATCACCCATCTCGGGCGCAAAGGAGTCGTCTAACGACCAATGGAAGAAGGATGAAAAATGTCTGGCCGCCGTTAAGAATTTCCACCCGTCCGTGTTTCGGATAGCTTCGCCCCAATTAAGGACCGCGGCCTCGTTAGCTCGAAACGAGCCGCGACTTAATTTTAATCTCAAACAACGGTGGTCAAACGTCGACTACGGTGGTCGTCCTTCTTGTCAGCCCGGCGAGGATAACGCCTCACCCTTTATTCCAATCTCGTTTCGTTTGGCACGCGATAAAACTTTTCCCCGATCCGTGAGAACCGACTTCTTGATGATGAAAGGTTTTTAAAACGTTTATCACGCGATCTCGTTGACAGGGGCGTCGACAAGCCTCGCAATTTCGTAAAAAACGAGAAAGTTGGAACAAATTGAAAAAAGGGGGAAAAAATTAAATTTAATATCGACCGAACACCTTTTCCTAAAATCTTTCTTCGAAATCTTGGAAATCGGAATACCGTTGTTATCGTCGATTGTCGAAAAACGATTGGGAGATTTACTTTTACTTTGTACGCTCGTCTTTGTAAAAAAAATAACTATTCTAATCGAAAATCGATATTTGCTCGGCCAACAAACTATTATTCGACGAAAAAAATAACGTTTTTACATCTTCTCTATACCACTCCATTATCGTTACATTACAGTGTAAAATTATCCTTACATCTCATCCCGATTAGATCAACTATAACGAGTATAAATAACGATTCGTATTTAGAAATAATAAATTCAAGAATATAACTCTCCCGATAATAATTAATACTATAATACCGACATCTTACTCGGCAGAATTGCCATTTTGCCTAGCGTGACTCGGGGGAGGTCGCGTCGTGTTGGCGAGATGGTAGTTTCCCCGATGGTGGCGGCATTAAACTATTTCTCCTCTCGCAGAAGGATTTGCATCTCCATACAGCGAAATCCTTGTGCAGCGATATGGTAGACAGTAATCTGAATGCATCGGCAAGGCGTGATGCGCGCGGCAGGGTCGTAACGCGTCGAGAGAGAGACAGAGACAGAGAGAGAGAGAGAGAAAGAGAAAGGTGTGTGCGTTGGCCGTGAAGAGGCGCAGGCGTCGTGGCCAGGTACGCTCGTCAGTCGTCGGCCGAACTTGAAACGCGCGGCTTCGCGTTCCATTCGTACATCTGTGCGTCCAATTACGATCGTCCTCGCCGCGCCAAAACAACGACACGAAATAACCAAAACTCCCGTTTCCTCTCGCGATTTTTATACACGCGACTCGATTTACATTATCGATCGATTATATTTCCATCCGGATCTCTTGCAGAAATCTTACAGAAATCTCTGTAACCGGATTCTTTTGATCCGGATCAGTTTCTCGCTCGTATTCGCCGCCAGTTCTCGTCATTCGTCGTTGGCAAGTACGGCGGCCAATCTAAAGTGCTCCTAAAGTATATCTACCGTACGTACAAAGCCCCTGCACGCCTGCAACCCGCGTAAACTGTACGACAAACTGTGATAACTGTTGTGGAGCGTGGGACAACGCGTTTGGAAATCGTGTTTGTGTTTCTTTTTTATCTTTGCTCTTTTTTTCTTTCAATTTTTTCTTTTTTTTTTTTTCTTTTTTTTTTTCTTCAACCCCTTCGAGAAATTTCGAGGAATAAATAAATGAATGAATGTGATACACAGGTTTCTACGATCCTGATTCGAGGTTATCGGATTTTATCCTCGTTTTATCATGTATCTTTAAATATACATTTTTTTTAGGGTCGAGTTTGAAACTCGATCGAGAACAATGTCTGTAGGTCGGAAGAATTTCATTTCCATCGCAATTTCATTGCTTTCACGATCCATTTGCCTTTTCCGATCCATCGACCAATCATCGCGTCAGAAAATATACACTTTCACAACTGGATCGCTGCCTCGTGGAACAATAGTATTCGCGATAGTGTTCCCATTTTCTGAAATTCTGTTCCCTTTAATCGGTATGAAAAAAAAGGGTTGAATTTGAATATACTTAATTTACGACGATTCAATTTCGTTGCAACGTTGCAACGTTTCTTAAATACGCGCGTTTCACTTGGTATTTCACGTAAATGGATTTATCTGGGTAATTAGAGACTAATTGTCTGGTCTCTCGAGCGGCCAAACCTGCATGGACGTTACTCGCTCGAATGAAATTCATCCGAGCCATAATTATTTTAGAATTGCTTTACAACTCGTGGACACGCTTCCCGACTGTTTCACAACTACAACGTCGTAATATTCCCGTTTTAAATTTTTAATTTGAATGAAATAAAAAATTCTAAGCATGAACTGAATTCTTTTGAAACTTGGTTAGTCGAGCAATTAATCCCTTTATTTCCGAAAATTTTGTATATCGATTCTAAAAATGTTTCGAAAAGTGGAAAAATCATCGATTCGACCGGGTATTTTTATTAAAAAGAAATAATAATAATGATAATAATTTAAAATTTTTTACCATTCTGTCAAAAACTTTTATAACTCGCTCTTAATTTGACCCATTTAAAATTTAACTTGTCGATCTTCGAATCTTAATTCTTAACGTCAAAATATACGATTTATACAGTTTTTTTAATTCTTCGCAATCCATTCAATCTCAATAAAATCGTGTCACCTCTTAATTTCGATTAATCCGCACTCCATCGATTTTATACATCGGATAATAAATTTTATCTCGAAATCATTGAATCAGAGATCGAACATTGTACGAAAACGGTTTAATAAACGATATCTCGATCGAACTCCATCTTCCGCCACGCGTAAATTTACTACATTCGCCTCGTTCCTTGCTCGTTTCGATTATTTTCTTTTACCCTTTCCGTTTTTTTCGTAGTTTTTAGATCGTTTTTACACCGTCGAAACCAAATGGGGGAAAAAGTTGGGTAACTGTTGGAGAAACGACAAGACAATGGACGAGTAAAAAAAGTTTAACGCGAGAGGAGGAGGAGGAGGAGGAACAAAACGAGGGGAACGATGCTTGTTCGAGCCATGGCTCGCGATTTCGTCGACCGATAAGCGGTAAGAATATCATCTATCACGCTTCGTTCAAACTTCGTTGCAACGTATCCGATCCCATTATCAACGATTATCATTTACTTTTCTAAAAATTAGTTATATGATAAAAAACGTACAATATCGAAAATTGTATTAAATACAATCTCCACATCCGATCTAATAAGCGAAACTTTTACAAGATTGAACTTCTCCTGCCATTAAATATTGGAACACACTTTCGAGAAAAAGAAACTTGAAAAATTATTAAAATTAAAACTTCGATAATCCTTCCCCCTGAATTGAACGTTGATAATAATTTTCATCGATTTCTGTGGGAAGAAAAAAAAAAAAAAAAGATATCAATTCTTGAGAACGTAATTAGCCTCGAACCGCGCTCCCTTGAGCACTCGAATTGCCTTATCGGCGAGAATGCATCGGTGGTGCGCCTAGCTCGGAGCATTATGACACCGCAATTACACGAACAGTAAACTTTACGCCACAAATTACGACGACGGAGGAATACACGAGACAACTTTGACTCTGTAACTATGCCTCGGGAGATAATTGCTTAAAACGTTTACATCGATTTCTTCCCTGCGAGGGGAAACCCGTAACTGCTCAATCTCGCCGGATTAATCGCTTTCGATTCGGTTCATCGAACTTGAAATGGCGATAATTATGGAATACTCTTAACGATTCCGAAAGTAGTTTGTACAGGAGGCTAGTGGAAAGCTGAGAAAAAGAGAGAGAGAGAGAATAATACGATTATTATTTAATAAAATTGTGGATCTGACAGACAGCTTCGACGGTTCAGCTTTCTCTTCGATGAATCGCTTGAGGATAATTTTATAATAATAATGTCCGAGTGAAAGAGAGAAATAAAAATTTTTTTTGTAAATCGTGTTTCAATTTAAGAAATATTTCAAGTAAAAAAAGCGATTCGAAGATATTCGAATAATTGTCGAAAGAAGAATATCAAAATTGCAAAATGATTGCAAGTTTTTAAATGTCATTAAATGTCGCGTATGGAAATATGGGATGATCGATGAGAAATTTTCATCTCATTCGAACACGGAATTGAAATTTAGGGGGTATCGATCCGTCAAATTCGATTATTACGACAGATTCGTGACAATAGTAGTAGAGGATACGTCCAAAAGATGTCGGGCAATTTCGTGCAACAACGGGAGAGAGAGGGGACGCCATATTGACACGAATGTTTTAGGTACGAAAAGGTTAGAGGTACACGTTCCAAATTTTATTCCGGATTATTTGTGCGCGCGCACACACGATCGCGTAAAAAAATTTTGCTATACACGCTTTTACCGTACAGGCTGTAATTCGTTTTCTGGGTTGAAACGTTGTTACGTTGTTGAATACGCGGGGGAATATACGTGATTCCAACTTTTTAACAGAAATGGAGTCGGAGAAATACCGGTTTTAGTACACGTAGTTATAAACAATCTTCGCGCACGGGACGCATAACAATTCAAATATTTTCTGTCTGACTCTCCTATTAAATCAGGGATACAATTTTTTCCCCATCATCTCTAGATAATATGGAAAACTTATAACGTTACAGCGCTATCGTTGTAATTTTAAACATCAACTCTCCTTTCCCTGCTTCCATACAAAATACAAGAAAAATTAACTCATTTAACAAATTATTCTCACTCTGTAAAATACATATATAACAATTAACGAAAATGAAATGCCATTACCATTACGTTCATATCGTAAGTACAATACCTTTCACGGGCAATGTCTATCCTTTCGGTTAAATAAAACAGTAGAAAAATTTCCATCTTTCTTCTAATCTTCTAAACTTCTCGATACTGGAAATATCACCAATTCTGTAATTTCGAAGGCATAACGCGTGCTTTGCAATTTACCGCCGACATGTAACGTGATTTTCCGTAAATAAAATAATAGAAAAATTTCCATCCTTTTTTTTTCTAATCTTCTAAATTTCTCGATAGTAGAAATATAAAATATCACCAACTCTGTAGTTTCGAAAGTATATAACGCGTGCTTTGCAATTTATCGCCGATATGTAATGTGATTTTCCGTAAATAAAATAATAGAAAAATTTCCATTTCCTTTTCTTCTAATCTTCTAAACTTCTCGATACTGGAAATACAAAATATCACCAACTCTGTAATTTCGAAGGTATATAACGCGTGGTTTGCAATTTACCGCCGACATGTAACGTGATTTTCCGTAAATAAAATAATAGAAAAATATCCATTTCCTTTTCTTCTAATCAAACTTCTCGATAAATACAAAATATCACCAACTCTGTACATAGATATAACATCGATATAACGCGTGGTTTGCAATTTATCGCCGGCGCGTAACGTGATTTTCCGTAAATAAAATAATAGAAAAATTTCCATTTCCTTTTCTTCTAATCAAACTTCTCGATAAATACGCGTAACGTGATTTTTCGTAAATAAAAAAATATCACCAACTCTGTACATAGTTTCGAAGGTATAACATCGATGTAACGCGTGGTTTGCAATTTATCGCCGATATGTAATGTGATTTTCCGTAAATAAAATAATAGAAAAATTTCCATTTCCTTTTCTTCTAATCTTCTAAA